GGTTTTATTGTGATGCAAACTGTCACACCTGCCCTGTTTTGATTAAAGTGATGATTCTTGAAGAGGTTATTGAGTGAGAGAGACCCTTCGCTTACCTGTTTAACCGTGCCTTCCTATCACACCTATCTCCCTTTTCCTTCAATCACATCCAGTCTCAGTTCTGCTTCCAACTATTGATTTTGGACGTATAGCAAGATTGAATAAGAGATATGACACACGAGAATAGTATATGAACAAAGAAGAGCTGGTTTTGTGGTTCCTAAATCACATTCGAAGACATGATATGATGAAATTTTTTTACTTTTTTTTTGGTTTTTGGTTTTTGAATCTTGATTTTTGTTACTGTTTTTCTTGCTTTGAAACTCAAATTGCAATTGCATTGTAAGGTGAATTGAGTTCATTTGTTAAATAGGAATTTATATGTTGCTCTTTTAGGTATGTTATTATAAAAATTGTTTGTTTCATTTATAAATAAGTTGCAATTTTTCCTCTCAAACTAACCGTTTTTTTTTCACTATATTGGCATATAATATTCAAATTGTTTTTTGAGTAAATTGAAAAATTGATACTAATGGTATCTCATAAAGTGCAATTTTTTTTCCTCCTATGGTCGGTGCAAAATTGAAACTTTAATATGGATTTGAACCTTGTGGTATCACAAAAAGAGCAATTTGGGCCATTTTTTTTTTAATTTGTATGGTCAGTTAAAAATGGAAACTTCTATGTAGATTTGCTCCTTGTGGTCTTCCAAAAAGTGCAGTTTAACTTTTTCATTGTATGTTCAGTTCAACTTTTATGCAAATCTGGTCCTTGTAGTATCCCCAAAAGTGCAATTTGAGCTTTTTTTATTTAAACGACAGTTAACTCGAATGACCAAATCTGTCTAAAAGTTTCAATTTCGCAATACCACATGAATGAAAAAGATAGACTCAAATTGCATTTTGCCAATAACGATGTATGTTTTTTTTTGTCAAATATAACATCGTACTTTTATTTTCTATTTTGACAAATATAGAAAAATGAAAGTAGAGTGCTATGTATGGGTATATATATATTCCTAATTACATTGCTATTTCTTTATGTGTCTTTTGTTTGTGTGTTGTGTGATCTATATTTGTGTGTGTGCTAACTTATGTGTTAGTCCATGTTGCAACACCGTGGAATACAGTGGATATTTCATGGTTTTGATTGGCTCGTGAACTTCCTGTTTTGATAAGACACTAATGCAAGGAAAAGGTAATGAATTAACTTGTTATTGGATATTTTGTGCCTGTTTGGCCATGGATATGGATATCCGTCCCTCATAAAAGATAGCCTTATTTTTCCAGTCGTTTATTTCGTTTAACCTCACATACTACATTAGTTATTCAAATACAAAACATACATTACACAATGGTTACTCTATGTTTAATATTTATAATTATAAATAAAATAGTTAAATATATGGTAATTATTTCGGGGGCCATGCGGGGTATTCGGGATGGAACTCCCCTCCCCCGAAACTAAATGGGAGGTAAAACCCATCCCCGCTTCCGCCACCGAATCAGAAAACATTCTAAAAATACCCCCATATGGAAACAGGGTCTCGCGGGATTGGGGCCCACGAGGGTTTTTGACATCCCTATTAATATATACTCATATTAAATATTGTCATATAGGTTCCAACTACTAAGCTACCATTGTACCTCAATAATAGTTCCTCGTGGTATTATAACCACTCAGGACAACATTTCCCATGGTATTATGGTCACTCAAGGTACAACTATTGTTTAACAATATTCCCAAGTGGTATTACGGCCACTCAAGCTACCACTACTGTTTAAAAACATAACCATATAGTATTACGACCACTAAGGCTGCCATTGACTTATAAATCCCCAACAGTGATACTATGGCCATAAAGGCTACCATCGTATCCTGATAAACATTCACCCATGATATTTATGGCCACAAAGGCTACCACCAGGATTTAACATTCCCCACACCATATATTAAGACCACTAAGGCTATTAGGTTTCATTGTCCCGGTTTCGTTAATGTTCTCCCCACAATTTACTTATAATCACATAATAATATAGTAAACTACCAACCATGAAATTAGAAATATATATATATATATATATATATATATATATATATATATATATTACTCAAACTCTTATCTCAATATATCAACATACATGAATAATTTTTTGTTATAAATGCTCCCCATATTAATCAACCAATCATCAGCTATAACTATAGCTGTATAAGTTAACCATAATATGCTATCATTCTCAACTATAAAAATTTATTACTTATATAGCAATAACATGTTATAAATCCCGACTACACTATCTTATTACACCCCACACCAATTATTTGTTGTAAATCTCAACTGAATCACCTTATTACCCCCATACAACAATATTATTTTGTAAATCTCAATTATATCAGTTCATTACCCCATACAACATTAGTATGTTGTAATATCTCAACTATATACATATACTCTCCCGTAACACATAAATCAACAACAATCAATATATAGTATCATTCACATAATACAATAATAAACACATATCTAGATATCAATTATCTAAGAGGGAAGCACGGTTACTCACCTTGAAAAGTTTTATATGAATAGAATTCCAGCTCTAGAAGTTCCATAACTTCTCTTGTTTTAGAAACTCCAATAATTTTCAAAATAACACATAATTCTTGAGTATTAGAAATCAAGGTACAACTCTTGATTCGACACTTTCATCAAGTTCATAATCCCCAATTATATAACAACTATTCCTCCATAAATCAGTTGTTCACATGCATTAATTCATTAATACATGGGCTTAATGTCACCTTGTTCATTATTTCACCAACTTTAGCGTAATAACTCAAAGTATAAGTCATTCATACACGACTTAATATATTTCATCAAAACTAACTATATTCCAGATATAAGTCATCTATATGATTTAAGTCATTTAGTTACAAATTCAATTTCATTCATATCATAATTCACCCAACTTAGGGTTTATGATCCAAATCTCCAATTCATATATCTAATCATAATTTTAACACAATTATCTTGAAAATGGTATTACCAAGTTCACTACAACAACATCAATACAATTTCCTTCCATTTAAAGATCAAACAAGTAAGGTTTCACCACTTTTTCAATTCCATCATGAAATTTCATTCAAACTTATAGGAATAGAAACAATACCTCTTATCCATGTGATGAAGTTAGATGTTTGATTCCCTTGAGTTTATTTTCAATTTTGAGCCCCACTCCACTATAACTCGATCTCCCCTGCTCCAGGAAGGTTTCAAAGCGGTTAGAATGGAAAATGGGGATAAATGACCGATTTCCTCATAATCACTCTATTTGTGTGTTGACGGATTCTACATGTCACATACATCTCCCGTACGCGTCGCGTAGGGTATCTCTTACACGTCACATCCCTTTTCCATCCTAGCATCATACTTACAAATGCGTCGTGTCACATGCAACTCTAGCATAGTAGATTACCATAACATTAATTATGTGCGCGTAAATCTACATAACACGTCAACTTTTACTAGCTCCAATATAGCAACATACACTATTGTTTTACGTTAATTTGTATGCGTCGCGCGTCGTAAATTATGTGTCACGTAATTGTAATAGCCCCAACACTTAACAAATTTTCTGGTTTTACCCTTTTAACCACAAACATATTCAAGGGTTGTCATCATATAACCATTCCCCTTTAAAAGATAACTACACCCTCAGTTTACTCTTATATATTCTCAAAAAAATTGGTGTTACGTATTATGTGTATATTGTATCATGGATGATCAAGTTTATGGCTTTTCAGTTTCAAGATTGTTCTTTTCTTTTGTTGCATTTTCATAAGTATTATCCATATTATGAAACCCTACAAAATAATAGATCCTTAGATACATGCAATCATTAGTAATCAAACTTAAGAGTTATGGTATTCGCCCAAGCACTGAAATCTATATGATCCAAATGGATTTCAAGAGAAAGTTGAACCAAGATGGATATATGTATATGTTTTAAAGTAAGATTGGTTGCTAAAGACTACATATAAAAAGATTGTATTGATTATTCTGATAGCCATGCTTCAATTCTAGGATTGATTTTATAAGAACTTAGCAATATCGACTCTAAAAAAAGACTACATTCATAATATGAATGTAAACTAATCTTTACGAAACCTAAACCAGGAGGCCAACATAGATCAACCCAAATAGTTTACGATCTCAAAGAAAGAGAACAAGGTGTGCAGACTTATTAAGTCCTTATATGGTTTGAAACAAGTTCAAAACATTGGCATGAGATGTTCAATACCAAAAGTACATGTTTTAATTTCAACATAACAATGCTGATAGATGTATGTACATACACCAAAAGTATAAAACAATATACAATGGTGACTTGTATTTATGCTAATGATACGTTGATATACGATACGACTCCAAGTGGTATTACCGATAAACAAAACGACATATCCTCAAACTTTAAAATAGAAGATCTTAAAGATGTAAATACCTTTCTTGGTGTCTATGTCGATAAGGATAAATGATCATATCACTGTAAGTGGGTCTCACTACATTAAGAAGATACTAAGTTTCAACGTTTAACTATAAAGGAATTCAATACTCCTTTTAAACCAAACGTGAAATTCCATACATCACATTGCTTTTGCTATAAGCAAGCTACATTGGTACACAAGCAAATGCAAATTGACATACAATAAAGGTTAAGCCACATATTTTTAGGTTTCCAAGTTCTCCTGTTCTGCTTGTACACCTTTTGGTTTATATCCGAATGTACAAGCTACATACAAAGTATATCTATATAAGATGTATATGTATGCATGTATGCATGTATATGTATGTGTATATCAATCAATGTATACATAAATACACATGTGTGTGTGTGTTTGTGTGTTTGAGAGACCTATAAAGCAAAAGGAGCACAAACTCTGAGATCAAATCTCTCTATCTATTTCCTTTTATTAGTTTAGAATCCTAAAAAGGAACCAATGATGAAAAGCTCTACATTTCAATATTTGTACCCTGCTCCTACACAAAATACCACCTAATGGATCAACACAATAAGCTTAACTCTCTCAACTTATGACCCCCTCAAAAAAAAACAACCCTAATCAGTCCCAAAATTAAAGGAACATTGTTGTCCATAAAGTTAAATGATTTTCAACTGTTTGTGTTGTTATGTTGGTGGAAAGAATCTGTTTAGATTGAATGGCAACGTATAAAACTCTTCATTCCTGTTATCCCCTCTAAATGTTCTGAACTTCACCCACCATGGCATCCCTCTATCTTTCTTTGAATTCACCACATCCAATGTGTTGTCAAGAAACACTGCCACCATCATCCCTACTGTTGGTGGTGATGAGAATATGGTATTCAAGAACGCATTAAACTGCAAAAAGAAACCATTTTTTTTTTTGTCACAATACCTTACCATAATTAAATCTTTTTCTATCAACTTATAAGCTTCTACTTACCCAACCAGCATTTGTGCGAACTAGCCCATGATGTAGAGTTACATACTCATTGAAATATTGAGGTATTGAAATTCCAAGAAAGAGAGAAAGCCCAATGATTATCAGGTTTCTCATGGAATTCATGTTGGTGAACTGAAGAAACGATAATCCAACCGCACCTACAAAACCATATTATATGCATACATAAAGTCTTTAAACAACAAAAAAAAAATGGAAATGTTTATATATCACAAGGAGTTGTAGTCACATACCTACAAGCCCAAAAAGAACACAATACAATGCTGCATATATGGGAAAGGGTATTGATGCAAAAACTGCTCCAAATTTCCCTGAAAAACACGTAATATGGATCTTAGTAAAACAAAATCACTTCATATATAGAAACATTCTCAAAAGCCATTAAATATATGAAGGGGGAGTCAAGTGTTTAATAATAAACATGTAATGTTATAAAATCTTGAAAAGACTAACCTAATATGGAGAAAAAAATCATGAAACCAGCAGAAATTTGAACAACTCTTCGACTCCCAACTCTGGTTAATCCAAGAAGACCCACATTTTCCCTGAAATAAAGATGATTTTGTTCAAAACGTGTTCTATGGAATTGCAGATATTTCATCAACATGTCAATTTCCATTCCAATTGGTTCTTACACTGACACTGTGGATCCAGTTCCAGTTCCATAAAGACCATCTAGAAGCACACCTATTCCCTGATAAAAAAAAAAAACAAATTTGACTTCAAGATTTTGAATCTTTTTGACCTTAAAAAATCTCATCTTTTTTATATAATATAATAACAAGTCAATTCACCTGCCAGCCAATGCCTCTGCTAAGTACATACGCAGGAGGTGGAGTTGCAATTGCCAGCCTTGATGCAGCCTTGTAAGCACCAGTTGACTGTGTGTGTCATAAGAAAATCTCATTAAAAACAAAAAGAAAAAAAGAAATCATATTTGGAACTTTTTTTTTTTTTTTTTTAAATTATGACACGCGCTTACCTCAGCCATTGACACAAGAACTGAAGACATCATCGCAAATGAATGGCCAACTGAAAAAGTAGGTGGACCCCACTGTAACGGGTAAGGAAACTTAAACCTGAAAACTCACACATGATTTTACTATTTTAGAACCAAAACCAAATATGTAAAAAGATATAGTTTATTAGTAATAAATACTAACCATGGAGCAGTGGATATAAGATTTGCTCTATCTGTTCTACAGCTTATTTGAGTTGCATTTGGTCTATTTCTATATGCTCCACTAGCTGTTAGTATGATTGAATAGATCCATATAACTGATATGCATATCAATACAGGGAACCTCTCAAAAATTGGAACCTCTTTCAGTAGTTTTGTGTGCTTTAAATACTGCAATTTTTTTAGGAATTGTTAGATTCTTTAACGCAATAATACATCATTGAAATGAATTACCCAAAAAAAAATGTTACCTGTGAAACTCCAATGACTAAAAGTAGCATAGGCAACCCGATTTCCACACAATTTCCTAGCTGAAATGGCACTAACATTAAGTCATGTATTGGATTAAGTCTGAATCTGAGTAAAATGACTATTTTACCCTTTTGTTTAGAAATGACATGAACGACAACATACCATGGGAAATCCACGCTGAAATAGCCCTAAACCAACTAAACCAACAACAGGGGCCATGCCAAGTGGGCTGAAAAATCTGTGATTTTTTTTTTTTTTTTCCAAATTAAAATTAGAAAAGAAAGGAAAATGAAATAGAATTAAGGGTTACAAAATGTTTTAATAAACCTCGAGAAGAGACCCCAAAGCTGGCTATAACCAGCTACAATTTGAATGCTGGAAGCAACGATTAAAGCTCCTTGAATAGCTCGCATTGTTTGTATAAATCTCTGCAGAATCAATTTAACGAAAAGATTTCTTTCACCATTATATATAATCAAGGGCATAAAAGACATTTTACAACATACATCATGATGATCGGGGATTTGTTGCAGAGATGAATCATTTATGATGTAAAGTATGGGCATAACATAAGCAAATGAGCCTCCAACAACAGCAGGTAACCTGGTTCCAAATAGTGTTTGAAGAAGTGTGTTGATCCCAGCTACAAATAGTAATGTTTGTATAACACGCGCCTTATCACCCTATAAGAAAATTATTAAAAAAAAATTGAATTAAAAATAGGAGAAACAGAGAGGAAGAAAATTAAAATATGCTTACATCTGATCCACCCATCAAAGGGACTAGTAGTGAAGGGATCATTACACTTGTTCCAAGCATAAGAATGTAGTTTTGAAATGCTAATAGAATTGTTTCGGCTGCAAAACAATGTTATATTAATTGAGTTTTAAATCTTGATTTCACATTTATTTCTATTTATTATTTGCTATAAAAAAAACCCTAAAGTAGCACTAGCAATCACCGATCATGATTTTAGAGAAAGGATTTGATAGAACCCTAATTATAGTTCATAAAGATCACATTCAAATCATCATGATTTCTGAATGATTCCAATCCAAAAAAGATAGATTTGTTCTTCCTTTTTACGAACAAGAAAAAGAAGGAATTATTAGGAAAATGATGAAAAATTGGGTGACCCACTTGGTCAATAAATAATCAAAGACAACATTCTGAACCCTTGACTTTTCTTCTACACATTTCGATAGAAAAAATTATTTAAAAAAAAAACCGCATTGGTGTTCTGCTTTTCCTGTTCCCAATTCAATCACAAAACACGAATAATTTTCTATACCTGACAGACATACTCATCCCAGAAATGCCATCTCCAGAGAATAACAATTAAATATTCCAACATTATAAAAAAAATCCCAAGAAACCCAAAAACAAAACAACCCAATTTTGAAATCGGGATAGAAGATTGCATGGTAACTTCTATCGGATGCTCTGTTTCGAGAGGTAAAACCCTGCGACTTAATATAAAAAGCTAAAACCCTTCTCAAACGTTTTGTGTTAAAAAAAAAAGTGAAGGAGAAGGAGAAGGAGAAGGACGCATACGCCATGGCGGATTGGAGTCTATACAGTACTCCAGGTCTTGAAGTTGTTCCATGGGCGGGTGACTTATGTCCGCCATTGATGAAGCTTTAGTGAAGAACTCCAACTCCAACACACAGTCGCACTGATGATAGAGAATCTAAACACGATAGAGATGGACGACGAAGATTGGGAACAAAGTAAAGCACCCCTGGTGGAAAAGTTGGAAAAAGAAACCAAAATAAAATTCAAAAGTTAAAGAGAGAGAGAGAGAGAGAGAGAGAAATGGGGGTTGTGTGAGTGTGTGTGAAACAGATCATAGTTACTTCTTCGTTAGTACTTAGCTACTTGAAACCCCACAATTTTATTTCATCTTTTATTTTTATTTTTTAATTTTTATAGTTTTGTAAAATTTAGGTAAAAAGTTTCCCAATCAGATATTTACGTTTATCGTAAAGTTATTTTTATACGATTTTTATGTATATTAAAATGTAAAATGTGAAAATATGTATTAGTTTTTTTTATATACTTTAAATTCTTTTATAAAATAGTTTTTTATTTTAAAGTAAAAAATGAAATGAAAATTGATTTAAGTAAGTTTTTAAATATAATTCAATCTTATAAGCATTGTTGTGAACTTGTAGCATTAAATTTTGAACTCAACGAATATTTTGGATTAATTTTGACATTAATTAAGAAGCTGTTGACTTATTCCTTTGGAACAAATGTGCAAACATGGTTAAATGAGCATAACTATTTTATTTTTGTTTCCGTCTTTTTGGTTTTCTGTTTTTAAATTTCTTGTTTTTATAAACTATGTTGATAAATTTTTTTAAACAAACAATTTACTAAAAAGGTATTAGAAAATAATACAAGACGATGTAAATATATTTATTTTTAATTTTCAATATACTTTGTAAATTTAAATTTTTATCTAGAGTGTCAAGACTTTTTAGATCGTAATAACGTGTATTTTAAAATTAGACATCAATCAATAAGAAAATAATCAAGAACAAACTATTATCTGTGTTTGCTCATGGAGATTTTACACATTAACAACCTTATGATTTATTTTACTTAAACTAAATCATATTCCATATCTTTTAACTTAGAATATATCATATTACGGATCGTTTATTAATTTTAAGAATAGTTTTAAAAATATATGATCGAATTGATATTTAAGTTTATAGAGTTATTACTTATTATGGATGATGAATATGATTCATGGTTGTATTATCTTATATATATAAGCCAAACTCTCTATATATATCTCTCTCTCTCTCTCTATATATATATATATATATATATATATATATATATATATATATATATTACTTATTATGGATGATGAATATGATTCATGGTTGTATTATCTTATATATATATATATATATATATATATATATATATATATATATATATATATATATATATATATATATATACTCCTAGCGACTCACCGATAGCGAGCTTCCTAACGTGCCCTAGGGGTGGTGTGCAGCGTGCTTAGCGAGCGTTCGTAGCGGCCGACTCCCTTCAGCCTTATAATGCAACTACCATAAAAGAGAACCATGAATATATGAGAAGAGAGAAATCGGCAAAGTTGAATAAAAAGCTCAACATGGAGAAGTATGCATATATGTACTCAAATAAATATATGTCATGGGAGATTATCAAGGTCAGATGCACTAAACCCCAAAACTTAAAATTTTCACGCTACACATGATTAGGAAATAAGATGAATGGAATTTTATTGATGAAGCACAAGAAACCAACTTGGTGAAATTTGAATACACTGAATGGGTGGAGCTAATAAGGCTAATTGAGAGTTGCAACATACTCATGTATCAAGAACTGAGAATGGTGCTTTTGAGCTAATATCATGGGTTTACATATTGGATATGGTTCCTCTAGAAGCCTGAGGTTCAACTTCTAGAGAACAAATGAGGAGGGCCAAATGAAGAAGAACAAGGGAAATAGAAGAATAAGTGATGTTGCCTTATGGTTCTAATGTGATAAATACAAAGTTGCATGTTGGAATTGAGCTCGAGTGTTATCTACTCATTAAGAATCCACATGGTATGTTTTATAAACATGATGAAGGCAAGATGTGTTTTATGTGTTTCAAAGACATCCCCAAAGCCACTACTACACATCTGTTTTGACCAAGTCTGGAGTGTAAAAATAAGTGGAATTCCAAATGTTTCCATATGCTTCTATTTCTAAGGTTGGATAAGAGAATATAAGAGATCCAGAAGGATAGATATGTCTACCTCAGGCCTAAAATAATAAAAAACATAATGAGTATAGACAATGTTTATAAGTTTGATATTCTTTTGTATATTTTTGTTATAGGCAAAATGTAATGTCCCGTTTTCATAACAAAAATTTTCATTTTTAATTAAGATAAAACTTCACAATTATAGAACCCAAGTTAAGAAAACCATTTGATCCAAAATACATTTGTTTTAAAAATCAAAGTAATATAATAAACACGGAATCTCCATTGTTGTTGATGAATGTGTACAGTCACGCCTTCGTCTTCCCACGATCATCACTAGTACCTAAAAAACATTTAATCTACAACTGTAAGCCAAATCTTTGTGAGTTCCTCCAAAATACCACACATCATAATATACATATAATGAATGCACACCGGGGCCACAACACGAAGACTGGATTACCCTCGGGCCCATAACACGAAGATTGGATTCCACCCGAGCCCACAACATAAGACTGGATTGCCCTCCCGGGCCTCAGCTTATGATTGGATTGCTCCCGAGCCCACAATATAAGACTGGAATGCCCTCCTGACCCTCAGATTATGTCTAGATTGCTCCTGAGCCCACATCATAAGACTGGAATGCCCTCCCGACCCTTAACTTATGACTGGATTTCTCTCGAGTTTGTTGGCCTACAACACAAAGCAGGCCCACCTCAACCCACCCCAGTATAATATGTCAACATATGAAACAAGCAAGTAATCAAGTAATCACATAAGCACAAGCAACTATCTACCCTATTCTACTTGTCTAATAGCTCACTACCACATACCCGACCTCATACATTATTGCACCACTACTGGCAGATCTCCAAGGAGCGCATAACTATATGTAACCAGAGGTGAGATAGACATTCGAATAGTAGATCCCACTCTAAAGACACAACCAAACAAGGAACATGCAGGAAATCCTAGATCAAGAGTTCTCAGACTATCCTACGTGATTACATACAACCCATAGGGTACTCCACTAAAAGATCACCAACCCACTGGTACTCTAACCAACATATTACTACTTCTATATCCTAACATACAAGGATATACATTGTAATACATAGTATAATGATCAAACCCACCTGAATCGAAGACCCAAGAAACACAACGATACACTCACTCTCAACACTGATTGCTGACTAGCACCAATACACGATAAAACCTTAATCAATAACTCAATTTCTTCAAGTTTGACCCAAAGTCAAACTGGTCATGGTCAACGGTCAACAAAATCCAACAGTCAACCCTCACCACGACATGGGAGACTCTTGGTCACGTCCTGGGAGCATCTGGACAAAACAATCACGGGGACTTCAATCGTCACGATGTGACAGGCACATCGTCACGTCATGAAAACTAGCTCTTAGTCAGCTTAAGAGATTAAGCCCTTAATATATTAAGTCATACACTCATCTCCTCTAAAAGGATTCCTTACACCCCATAAGCCATAAAAATAGCTACTTTAAAGTCGTGCATGCCCAATGCAAGTCTTGAGCTCAAATTAGGTCACAAACGATGAAAAAGGAGGTCAAAAACTCATGCATGAGTTCAAAAATCCACCAAACTTCATATCTAGCACATCTAACCACCAAGGGACTCTAAGGACCCATAAAGTTTCCAACTTTATGGAATCCCAACACTCCAACTAGCCTAAACATGGATAATAATGCATAAAAATCTAAATCTAGCAACAAGGAACCATAAAGGTTGAAGCTTGAATACTCACAAAGGTCCAAAGAAGTTTCTAGAAGATGATAATGAGGCTTGCAAGCTGGATCTATGCACCAAAGATGATAATTTCTTCTTCAAGTCACCAAGACACCACAAAAAGATCAAGAACTCATCAATGGAGGCTAGGGATTCGTTTGGAAGGTATGGAGGCTGAAGAGGATACTTTAGGTTATGAGTTAATAGATTTCAATATTGAAGAAACCCTACAAATTCATGGGCTTGGGCTGCAGCTTCTGTCACGTCGTGACACTCTAGTTGTCATGTAGTGACAACAATTCCAAAAACGCAAACATTCAATTGGCACATTACGACATGACATCCCATTTGTCATGTCGTGGCACTAGGTCTTTCCTAAAAACCTTACCTTTAATCCTTCTAAACCCTCAATCGATCTATTCTGGAAAACAAAGTGTTACAATTCTCCCCCACTTAAATTCGATTTCGTCCTCAAAATCTATTCTAAAATTTACTCTCGTAACACCTTTCAAACCCCTATGGGTTCTCCAACATCAATTCCTCCAACACTAGTTGAGATCACTTGAATGACATGTTGGGAACGTCAATATATTACTTTTTAGCCAAACTAATTGTCATTAACATGTTGGGAACGTCAATATGATTTCCATATATATATATATATATATATATATATATATATATATATATACACACACACACACACAAGTGGTGTACCCGCGCAAAGCGGCGTCGGTAAATAGTTTTTTTCGGCGATTATTTTCATTCGGAAACTGTTACATATTGTTATCAGTTAGTTTTGCGACAACAAATAACTTTGAGACAACAATTATAATCCTTTCAGTGAGCGGTAAATAGTTTCAAACTCAAACGGCTAACAGATCCAACAACCATGTTTGTGAGTCTGATGTGACTTAGGTTTGTTTTAGATTCTTTTAGGCGATTTGTTTCATTTCAGTGTGATGTTAATAAGTGATGAGTTTTATTTAAGTTTGTGAGTATGTCCTCACTTAGGTCTGTTTTGGATTAAAAATATAAGTATGTTGTTGTTTCGGTGAAAAATATAGATTACATTGTTTTTTCGATTAAAATTATGAATGCGTTGTTGTTTTGAGTTAAACATTTGAATATGTTTATGGTTTATGGTTTAGATTTTACGAATTACTATTTAAGGTTAAAATTATGAATACGTTTTTGTTTTGAGTTAAACATGTGAATATGTTTATGGTTTACGGTTTAGATTTTATACTATTTAAGGTTCAAGAATTACAATATTGGAAGACAAATGATTTCCTTTTTTATACGATTGTTTGATATTATAGTACTTTTTATTATAAAAAA